CGTTTTCTCTTGTTGTATGTCTCATGGATTTTCTCTCCTGTTGAATGTGTAATGGTCGTTTTCTCCTGTTGTATGTGTAATGGCCATTTTCCTCTGTTATATGTGTAATGGCGGTTTTCTCCTGTTGTATGTGTAATAGCCGTATTCTCTTGTTTTATGTGTAATGGCCGTTTCCACTTGTTGTCTGTGTAATGACCGTATTCTCTTGTTTTATGTGTAATGGCCGTTTGCACCTGTTGTATGTGTAACGGCCGTATTGTCTTGTTTTATGTGTAATGACCCCTTGCACCTGTTGTATGTGTAATGACCGTATTCTCTTGTAATTGTAAATCGCCGTTTTCGCCTTTTCTATGTCTAATGGCTGTTCTCTCCTGTTGCATGTGTAATGGCCGTTTTCTCCTGTTGTGTAATGGCCGTATTATCTTGTTTTATGTTTAATGCCAGTTTTCCTCTGTTATATGTACAATGGCCGTTTTCTCTTGTTTTATGTGTAATAACCGTTTTCTCTTGTTGTATGTCTAATTGCCGTTGTCTCCTGTTGCATGTGTAATTGCTGTTTTTTCCTGTTTTACGTGTAATGACCATATTCTCTTTTTATTGTGTAATGGTCGTTTTCTCGTTTTGTATGTGTAATGGCCGTTTTCTCCTTTTGTATGTGTATTGGCCGTATTCTCTTGTGTTATGTATAATGCCCGTTTTATGTGTAATGGTCGTTTTCACCTGTTGTATACGTCAAATGGCCGTATTGTCTTGTTTTGTGTGTCATGGCTGTTTTCTCCTGTTTTATGTCAAATGGCCATTGTCTCCTGTTGCAGGTGTAATTGCCGGTTTCTCCTGTTGTACGTGTAATGACCGTATTCTCTTTTTTATTGTGTAATGTCCGTTTTCTAGTTTTGTATGTATAATGACCGTTTTCTCCTTTTGTATGTGTATTGGTCGTATTCTCTTGTTTTATGTGTAATGGCCGTTTCCTCTTGTTTTAAGTGTAATGGCCGTTTCCTCTTGTTTTATGTGTAAAGACCGTTTTCACCTGTTGTATATGTAATGGCCATACTTTCTTGTTCTATGTGCAATTGCCTTTTTCTTTTGGTGTATGTCTAATGGCTTTTCTCTCGTGTTGAATGTGCAATGGCCGTTTTCTCCTGTTGTGTGTGTAATGGCCCTATTCTCTTGTTTTATATGTAATAGCCGTTTTCCTCTGTTATATGTGTAATGGCGGTTTTCTACTGTTGTATGTAAAATAGCCGTTCTCTTCTGTTGCATTTGTAATGGCCATTTTCACCTGTTTTATTTGTAATGACCGTATTCTCTTGTTTTATGTGAAATGGCCGTTTTCTCCTGTTGCATGTACAATGGCAGTTCTCTCCTGTTGCATGTGTAATTGATGTTTTCTCCTGTTGTATGTGTAATGACTGTATTCTCTTTGTTTTGTTAATGGCCGTTTTCCTCCTTTTGTAAGTGTAATGGCCGTGTTCTCTTGTCTTATGTGTAAAGGCCATTTTCACTTGTTGTATGTGTTATGGCCGTTTTTTCCTGTTGTATGTCTAATGACCGTTTTCAACTGTTGTATGTGTACTGGCCGTATTCTCTGGTTTTGTGTATTATGGCCGTTTTCTCCTGTTGTATGTCTAATGGTAGTTCTCTCCTGTGGCATGTGTGATGACCGTTTTCTCCTATTGTATGTGTAATGGCCGTATTTTATGTGAAATGGCCGTTTTCTCTGGTTTTATGTGTGATGGCCGTTATCACATGTTGTATGTGTAATGACCGTTTTCTCCCGTTGTATGTCAAATGGCCGTGCCGTTCTTTCCTGTTGCATGTGTAATGGCCGTTTTCTCCTGTTGTATGTGTAATGACCGTATTATCTTATTATAATGTAATGGCCGTTTTCTCTTGTTGTATGTCTCATGGATTTTCTCTCCTGTTGAATGTGTAATGGTCGTTTTCTCCTGTTGTATGTGTAATGGCCATTTTCCTCTGTTATATGTGTAATGGCGGTTTTCTTCTGTTGTATGTGTAATAGCCGTATTCTCTTGTTTTATGTGTAATGGCCGTTTCCACTTGTTGTCTGTGTAATGACCGTATTCTCTTGTTTTATGTGTAATGGCCGTTTGCACCTGTTGTATGTGTAACGGCCGTATTGTCTTGTTTTATGTGTAATGACCCCTTGCACCTGTTGTATGTGTAATGACCGTATTCTCTTGTAATTGTAAATCGCCGTTTTCGCCTTTTCTATGTCTAATGGCTGTTCTCTCCTGTTGCATGTGTAATGGCCGTTTTCTCCTGTTGTGTAATGGCCGTATTATCTTGTTTTATGTTTAATGCCAGTTTTCCTCTGTTATATGTACAATGGCCGTTTTCTCTTGTTTTATGTGTAATAACCGTTTTCTCTTGTTGTATGTCTAATTGCCGTTGTCTCCTGTTGCATGTGTAATTGCTGTTTTTTCCTGTTTTACGTGTAATGACCATATTCTCTTTTTATTGTGTAATGGTCGTTTTCTCGTTTTGTATGTGTAATGGCCGTTTTCTCCTTTTGTATGTGTATTGGCCGTATTCTCTTGTGTTATGTATAATGCCCGTTTTATGTGTAATGGTCGTTTTCACCTGTTGTATACGTCAAATGGCCGTATTGTCTTGTTTTGTGTGTCATGGCTGTTTTCTCCTGTTTTATGTCAAATGGCCATTGTCTCCTGTTGCAGGTGTAATTGCCGGTTTCTCCTGTTGTACGTGTAATGACCGTATTCTCTTTTTTATTGTGTAATGTCCGTTTTCTAGTTTTGTATGTATAATGACCGTTTTCTCCTTTTGTATGTGTATTGGTCGTATTCTCTTGTTTTATGTGTAATGGCCGTTTCCTCTTGTTTTAAGTGTAATGGCCGTTTCCTCTTGTTTTATGTGTAAAGACCGTTTTCACCTTTTGTATATGTAATGGCCATACTTTCTTGTTCTATGTGCAATTGCCTTTTTCTTTTGGTGTATGTCTAATGGCTTTTCTCTCGTGTTGAATGTGCAATGGCCGTTTTCTCCTGATGTGTGTGTAATGGCCCTATTCTCTTGTTTTATATGTAATAGCCGTTTTCCTCTGTTATATGTGTAATGGCGGTTTTCTACTGTTGTATGTAAAATAGCCGTTCTCTTCTGTTGCATTTGTAATGGCCATTTTCACCTGTTTTATTTGTAATGACCGTATTCTCTTGTTTTATGTGAAATGGCCGTTTTCTCCTGTTGCATGTAAAATGGCAGTTCTCTCCTGTTGCATGTGTAATTGATGTTTTCTCCTGTTGTATGTGTAATGACTGTATTCTCTTTGTTTTGTTAATGGCCGTTTTCCTCCTTTTGTAAGTGTAATGGCCGTGTTCTCTTGTCTTATGTGTAAAGGCCATTTTCACTTGTTGTATGTGTTATGGCCGTTTTTTCCTGTTGTATGTCTAATGACCGTTTTCAACTGTTGTATGTGTACTGGCCGTATTCTCTGGTTTTGTGTATTATGGCCGTTTTCTCCTGTTGTATGTCTAATGGTAGTTCTCTCCTGTGGCATGTGTGATGACCGTTTTCTCCTATTGTATGTGTAATGGCCGTATTTTATGTGAAATGGCCGTTTTCTCTGGTTTTATGTGTGATGGCCGTTATCACATGTTGTATGTGTAATGACCGTTTTCTCCCGTTGTATGTCAAATGGCCGTGCCGTTCTTTCCTGTTGCATGTGTAATGGCCGTTTTCTCCTGTTGTATGTGTAATGACCGTATTATCTTATTATAGTGTAATGGCCGTTTTCTCCAGTTGTATGTCGTGTTATGGCCGTTTTTCTCCTGCTGTATGTAATAGCCATATTCTCTTGTTTTATGTGTAATGGCCATTTTCTCCTGTTGTATGTTTAATCGCCGTTCTCTCCTCTTGCATGCGTTATTGCTTTTTTTTATTATGTTATATATGTGTAATGGCCGAATTCTCTTTTTATTGTGTTATGGTCGTTTTCTCCGGTTATATGTGGAATGGCCGTATTCTCCTTTTTGTTTGTTTAATGGCCATATTCTCTTTTATGGCCGTTTTCTCCTGTTGTATATCTAATGGCTGTTCTTTCCTATTGCATGTGTTAATGGTCGTGTATTCCTGTTGTATGTGTAATGGCCGTATTCTCTTGTTTTATGTGTAATGGCCGTTTTCTCCTGTTGTATGTGCGATGGCCGTTTTCGCCTTTTGATGTGTAATGGCCATTTTCTCTAACAGAAAACATGCGGATTGTAAGTTTCAGTTGTTGTAGATTTTTTGTTTCTTTTTTCATACATTGAAAAGGTTATTCGGGGTTAATTTTGTCAAAAATTATACAGATGTATGGGAAGTCTTGATATAGATTTGAACGATTAACACCAAAGACGACAAATAATCATCCATTAGTTTTGAATTATATGACGAAAAAGAAAAATTCAGTCATACGTATATAAGTTTATTAGAAATTATAAGTTAATATGAAACACTACAATGGTATATAATATCTACAATATACATCTAAATTTATAAATAAATACGAAATAAATTGGTTCATTGAGGCTGTTATTCCTTTCCAGTGTATGAAAGTCCCATCTTCTATTAAGAATATAAAAATATTGTCATATTCAACTGTTCTTTAAAGATTCCAAATACAATAATACATTAATTTATAAATTGAGCACTTCTTAAATAAAATTTAGTTCGTTGTCCGTTCATGAATATTCATGACATGTGACCATTCGTTTGCACTTAAAACCCGTGCGGTCATCTTTCTGACCATCGACTCTCGCTATAGCCTAAAGAAGAGACACGTGTATTCACGGATGATTTAATGTATATTTGTATTTGTAATTATGATTACTATAATTATCATGTTTGTATTTGATACATAAGATATAGAATTAAAGGTTATAGCGAGTAGCACACCTACATTAAATCTTTTGTTCTTTGTTAAGGCCATAGAATATAATTACTTTATATTCGGACGAACGTAGTGAGGGAGAATATAAAAGATAATATACACATAATGTCTATACTGTGACCTACTTCCTAATTATGTATCATCTTCAGATTTAAAATGAAACCATTACTTATAATCATGGAGATATCATTTGATTTGATTGATTGATGTTTAATGCCACTTTCAGCACTATTGATCCCAGTACTTATAGACATGGAGATATGATTTGATTTGGTTGATTGGTGTTTAACGCCACTTTCAGCACTATTAGTACTAGTACTTATAGACATGGAGATATGATTTGATTGATTGGTGTTTAACGCCACTTTCAGCCGTATAGGTACTGGTACTTATAGACATCGAGATGTGATTTGATTTGATTGATGTTTAACGCCACTTTCAGCCCTATTGGTATTAGTACTTATAGACATGGAGATGTGATTTGAATGATTGGTGTTTAACGCCACTTTCAGCCCTATTGGTACTAGTACTTATAGACATGGAGATGTGATTTGAATGATTGATGTTTAACGCCACTTTCAGCCCTATTGGTATTAGTACTTATAGACATGGAGATATGATTTGATTGATTGATGTTTAACGCCACTTTCAGCCCTATTGGTACAAGTACTTATAGACATGGAGATGTGATTTGATTGATTGATGTTTAACGCCACTTTCAGCCCTATTGGTACAAGTACTTATATACATGGAGATATGATTTGATTGATTGGTATTTAACGCCACTTTCAGCCGTATAGGTACTGGTACTTATAGACATTGAGATGTGATTTGATTTGATTGATTGATGTTTAACGCCACTTTCAGCCCTACTGGTACTAGTACTTATAGACATGGAGATGTGATTTGATTGATTGGTGTTTAACGCCACTTTTAGCACTATTGATCCCAGTACTTATAGACATGGAGATGTGATTTGATTTGATTGATTGATGTTTAACGCCACTTTCAGCCCTATTGGTATTAGTACTTATAGACATGGAGATATGATTATATTGATTGATGTTTAACGCCACTTTCAGCCCTATTGGTACTAGTACTTATAGACATGGAGATGTGATTTGATTTGATTGATTGGTGTCTAACGCCACTTTCAGCACTATTGATAATAGTATTTAAAGTCATGGAGATATGAACGCAGATGTAAAACTCAAAAAAGGCAGTGTAAACTGTTTACTTTTATGTACAAGATATTACGATATAATAAGATATTTTTATTCCATTTAAATAGCCCATGAGATTAAAGTAGTTTAATACGATGATTTTTCATAATTGACAAAAATATTGTTGTCAATCATATATAAATATGAATATAATCAACTAAATGTTAAGCCAGTCCAAAGCCATAAGCATGTGTGTAAACATGCAGTTATAAAACAGATAATATATAATATTAACAGGCAAATATTCTTAATGGGTTACATATAAACATATCTGTACAATATTGATAGTTTTCTGATTTCAAGACATTCATTAATATATATATATTCCAATAATTGTTAATACCTCTAGGTTTTCTTGAATAAAAAGACAATTTGAAATTGGCATTTGAGTTTAACATTTTGACAATTTACAAATGCTATTATAGAACTATTTTTTCAAGAGATTATAACGAGGACATTCACATTTACAATGTTTTTCATCTTCAACTTTATCCAACATAACCTTTGTGATTTATCTATATAATTGTTTTTTTTGCATATCCATCCGTCTCTGTTTTTAGAGGGTGTGCACCTATCTTTCATACTGCTGGTCTATCTTTAAATGCTTTCAATTCCAAATAATTTGCTGTATTTTTTTAATCATGTTAATTGAAAAACAAGCCAAGAGCTAGTTACCTTATATGATTTAACAGTATTTTCACTAAAATCTTTCCAATTGTTCAGAAAAACAAGATTTGTATATATGTATAAAAAGAGATTTGTTAATATCATGAATATAGACAGCAACCTAACAATACAATAGAGGAAAAAAAAAAAAAAAACAAAAACAAAACAGCTAAAGGTTAATAGAAGTATTGAGTAGTGCTGATACTTCAAACTATAAACTAATTTCAGCTTTATGAGGTTTTGAATAAATGAATAATAATGTATGTAAATGTCCAAATTCTAACAATAAAAAAATATCCTTCACCATGTTCACTGATCATTTTGACATTAATGTTGATTTATTCCTTTTCCTTTTAACAATTGTTCTATTTCTATATTTCCTTGCTCCTGTGCTACATTAAGAGAATTTTTACCTTTATTGTTACATTTATTGACATTAGCTGAATGTTGCATTAGTACTTTAACAACATTAACATGTCCTTTCTGACTTGCCCAATAAAGTGAAGAACATCCATCATCATCACAGAGATTAATATCAACATCATCACACTGAAGAAGTACATGTACAACCTCTATCATGTTGTTGCAACAAGCAATCTGTAATGGTGGGGTGCCATCATTACTACATTTATTGACATCAGCTGAATGTTGTAACAGTACTTTAACAACATTAACATGTCCATTATGACTTGCTATATACAGAGGTGATACACCATTATTCTTACATTTATTGACATCAGCTGAATGTTGTAACAGTACTTTAACAACATTAACATGTCCATTCTGACTTGCTATAGACAGAGGTGATGCACCATTATTGTTACATTTATTGACATCAGCTGAATGTTGTAACAGTTCTTTAACAACATCAACATGTCCTTCCTGACTTGCTATATAAAGTGAAGAACATCCATCATCATCACAGAGATTAATATCAACATCATCACACTGAAGAAGTACATGTACAACCTCTATCATGTTGTTGTAACAAGCAATCTGTAATGGTGGGGTGCCATCATTACTACATTTATTGACATCAGCTGAATGTTGTAACAGTACTTTAACAACATTAACATGTCCATTCTGACTTGCTATATACAGAGGTGATACACCATTATTGTCACATTTATTGACATCAGCTGAATGTTGTAACAGTTCTATAACAACATCAACATGTCCATTATGACTTGCTATAGACAGAGGTGATACACCATTATTGTCACATTTATTGACATTAGCTGAATGTTGTAACAGTTCTATAACAACATTAACATGTCCATTATGACTTGCTACATACAGAGGTGATACATCATCATTGTCACATTTATTGACATCAGCTGAATGTTGTAACAGTTCTTTAACAACATTAACATGTCCATTCTGACTTGCTACATACAGAGGTGATACACCATTATTGTTACATTTATTGACATCAGCTGAATGTTGTAACAGTTCTTTAACAACATTAACATGTCCATTCTGACTTGCTATATACAGAGGTGATGCACCATTATTGTTACATTCATTGACATCAGCTGAATGTTGTAACAGTACTTTAACAACATTAACATGTCCATTATAACTTGCTATAGACAGAGGTGATACACCATTATTGTCACATTTATTGACATTAGCTGAATGTTGTAACAGTTCTATAACAACATTAACATGTCCATTCTGACTTGCTATATACAGAGGTGATTCACCATTATTGTCACATTTATTGACATCAGCTGAATGTTGTAACAGTTCTTTAACAACATCAACATGTCCATTATGACTTGCTATATACAGAGGTGATGCATCATTATTGTTACATTTATTGACATCAGCTGAATGTTGTAACAGTTCTTTAACAACATTAACATGTCCTTTCTGACTTGCCCAATATAAAGGAAAGTAACCATCCTCTCTACAATAATTAATGTTAGTATTCCTACTTATCAACCATTTAACCAGGTCAACTGTACCCATATAACAACTTCCACCAAGTGCTATATCTTTACTGTTAATATCTTGAGTACAAACGAGTTCTTCCTGCTTTGATAGATCAAGTTGGTTTAAACGTGTTACCAAGTTTTCTATGAATATAGTAGAATTCATGTTTCTGTTTTGACACACATTGGATACATAACCGTTCTCCCAGTCTTTCAGTAACCTTTCTATGTATCTATTTATACAGTTATCAGGTATTCTTATTACAAACTCTATTTCTGTGCCTATGTTATCTGTTATTTGCCAAAGAAGTCGTTCTCTAATAAAACCAGTATTAGCATGATCAATGAAAATCTGCATCATCTTCTCCCCAAAGTACTTGGCAAGGAAATCAAACAACTTATCATGGATTATTTTGTATTTGTTATCCTCCTTGACCACATAGGTACCTTCAAGTGTTTCCAGGGATTTCTTTAAACGTTTGATGGATGTTCCTTTATTCAGTTCACATTCTTCTAGTAAATCTTCTATGACTGCTCCTATCTTCCTATCTTTTGAGGAGAAGTTTTCTTCTGTTAATGTGTTGTTAAACATCACACAAAGGACTAAGCTACAAAACTGCATCTTACCAGCATCACTTTCTCCATACATTTGTACAACTTGATCTTTGAAAACTTCAAAAGGATTGCTAAAAAAGGAGGTAATGCTTACATTCTTCTGGAGGTTCTGTTTATGATATAAACTACATAAAAGTGGGAAACAGTCATATTTGTCTGACCATTCCTTTACTTCATCAGTATTTTCCCTAAAGTACACTTCAGCTAAAGCAAATTTTTCAGCAGCACTAAGTTTGAATTCTTGTGAACTTAAATCGATGTTACACATTTTGAAAATAGAGAGATTGCTAAATACTTCATCTTTGTAAACCTCCAATCTACATGTAGATATGATTTTACAACATTTGTCTTCTAGAAGAGATATTATGTGATCAAGTCTTTGTTTCCAGTCAGTGTAAATTTGTTGATTAAGAGTATATCTGCCACAGACGTCATCAAAGACAAACAAAGTTTTCCTCCCATGTTTAAACCATTTTCCAATATCTTCAGGTTTACTACATGGAATTACAGTATAACCCTGTTTCTTCATTATGAGGGCAATGTGTTTAGAAAGAAAACTTTTTCCAGTGCCAGAATTTCCCACCAGGGTAACTGAACTTTGTGTCAAAACTTTTTGCATTACATGTTTCTCTGCTTCAGTGCTAACAAACTGTTGATCATCCTTTTTCCACTGTTCCAAGCGTTTTTCGAACTGCTCTGTAAAAAATGAAATTCAATAAATTAACTATCGATTTAAAGTTCAAATTTCAAGGTGTAATACCACAAAAATAAAGAACATGACATCCAGTTTCATCATGTTCATGTATCTTGGGTGTTTTGAAGCACCATATCTTTTTTTTATTCAGTGTTCTAATAAAATATTTTTAAAACATAAGAAGATGGGTTTTTTTTCTTCTATGCAAGGAAATGTGGTTTGAAATTTTCACTGATGAACTAATTTAAAGTTAAATGGTAAAATTTCTTCACTTAAATCAAAGATACATACTGTTAAATGCCAACTAAACACAAGAGTGCACACGCTGAAATGTCTCGCCTTCTTTATTAATCATTGATATTATGTTGATAGTCCTAAATATAAAGCTTTATTACAACTGTCACATAAACTTAACATTAACCAAAAAACTAAACATTGACCAATGAACCATGAAAATGAGGTCAAGGTCAGATGAACCATGCCAGGCAGACATGTACAGCTAACAATTCTTCCATACAACAAATATAGTTGACCTATTGCTTATAGTTTAAGAAAAACAGACCAAAACACAAAAACTTAACTATAACCACTGACTGTGAAAATGAGGTCAAGGTCAGATGACACCTGCCAGTTGGAAATGAGGTCGAGGTCAAGTGAAAACTGTCTAACGGGAATGAGGACCTTGTAAGGTACGCACATACCAAATATAGTTATCCTTTTACTTATAATAAGAGAGAATTTAACATTACAAAAAATCTTAGATTTTTTTTCAAGTAGTCACTGAACCATGAAAATGAGGTCAAGGACATTGGACATGTGACTGACAGAAACTTTGTAACATGAGGCATCTATATCCAAAGTATGAAACATCCAGGTCTTCCACCTTCTAAAATATAAAGCTTTTAAAAAGTTAGCTAACGCCGCCGCCGCCCGATCACTATCCCTATGTCGAGCTTTCTGCGACAAAATTCGCAGGCTCGACAAAAAACTAATAGGGGAATATCAGTGGTGGTATTACCCCTTAAGAAAAATACTCTATCCTCACAAGTATGTTATTATGTCACCCGAACGACAATGTCGGGTGACATATTGCTTTTCCTCCGTTTCTATTTATTATTATTTTTCTTCCACCTATTTTGTCCGAAGCCTTTCTGGGAGTTTAGTGGACCAATTCTATTGAATGGTTACCATAATGAGGTCCACCATCTAAAGTTGTGCAGGACATCTTCGGAATTTTTAAAATGGCCACCGTTACCATGGAAACAGCACAAATGCGAAAAATCGGAAGTGTTCCAAACTTAATGAAACTTTACAGAAATGTTAGTTGGCAGATGTAAATGTGGCATTTGATTTTGGAATTTCAAAAATGGCAGTCGTTGCCATGGAAACTGGAGACAAAGTTTTAACATTGACCCTATGGGAAAATTCTTTCAGTAGCATTTACTCACTTAACATGGTAGGTCAAATACCCTGATTCTTTCATGGAATGTTCCCTGTCATGTGCCAATATGGCATCCATCTTTGAAATTTTGGAAACGATCACTGTTGCCATGGAAACGGCACAAATTCAAAAATGTTTAAAAATTTCAAAATACCTCAAATTTACTGAAACTTAATATTAATGTTAACTGGCAAGTAAAGATGAGACTTTTGACATCAATTGGAATTTCCAAAATGGCTCCTGTTGCCATGGAAACAGAAAAAATGTCAAAAATTTCAAAATGCTCTAAATGTTCTGAAAATTTATAGAAAGATGTATAGCAATATATTTATTTGCATTCACTGTTTTAAATGTTTCGAAATGGCTGCCGTTTAGTGGCAATGGGGGGCAGGGTGACATCTGCTATTGCTTGCAATGGCAAATCTAGTTATTTATTATCATTGTTGTGACATTTTTCATGTTTGTAGTAACTTCTATACGTTCACGATACATGTACTATGTTTGTTTATAGTTTTCATCATAAAGTGCCTAGTTTATTATTCCAAAACACTTATTTTCTGCGTTTTTTCAAGTCGGTGTCGCAGATCTCTTTAATGACCCCAAAATGAACTGTGACATGCAAATAATTTTAATTCTACCCTTTGGTCAAAATACAAGCAGTATAAATGGAGTCGATAAATACAAACAAGAAAACTGACATCGCTTGAACAATTGTTTTGTGTATGGCATACAAACAAATGATAAATACTGACGCCAAAAAAGCAAATCATTTTCCTTTTTTTTTCATTTCATGTTACAAACAAAGCTTAAAATTGAGTGCCTAACAATATTTCTGTGGTATTAATCTTAAAACCATTCCATTGTGAAATGACACCCAACAGGTAGTTTGAAAATGGAAGGAAAACAAATCATTTTTGCGACACCAAATATCCATTCATGACATCGTATTCTACCTTTTTATATTATAATTGTATTTTTTTTAAAAATTCATTGATAATTGATTGGTGTTTAACGCCTCTTTCTGCATTATTGGCTATGTTGTGGTGGTCAGGTTTTATTGGTGGAAACTGGAGTGCCCAGAGGATAAATCTGACCTTCGACATGAAAACTGACAATCCTAGTCATTTAAGATCAGAGTCCAGCACACCTGCCACGTCTAAGGTTCGAACTTACAACCTCAGTGTTGACAGGCTAGTAATACAGTACTTGAACTACTTAGACCACTTATCCACCGAGGCCCTTTTTTTTAATTCAAAGAACATTGAATGTTTACATATTTTGGTAGTAATCTTGAACATTGAGGCGAACAATGAATTGTTACACCAGAAATTAATGCAGAATTTCATGTCATCCTTAAGAAGCAAATTAAAAAACTGAAAAAGGCAGCCAACAGATAATTTTGACACTCAGAACCAATTTAGAATATCATAATATACTAGTTTATCAATGAAATGGTAGCTTGAAAGATGTTTCTCAAAATTTTGTATTTATAATATATAACTGTCTACATATAATGCACAACAATTGTACAAGCTTGTACCTATCTTTGAGCAATACTTTTGGAATAATTCAGTTACAAAAAGTTTATAGACGGACAAAGTATTAAGTATAAAGCTCATGTATACTTGATACGAGCCCTTATCAAGCAAAACATATGTATTTTTCTGTTATATGTACTAAAGATGCCTTATTGTAGGATTAAATAATGTTCCAATGTTCTACATCAATAAATTTACCAAGTATGTGTTTAGGAATAACTTCATCGTGAACCATCAGAGTATCTAAAAAAGATAAAAACAACAAATTATGAACATCCTGCCAAGGTCAGATGAAACCTGTCAGAGAGACATGTATCCCTTACAATCATTACATACACTAAATTATAGTTCACCTATTGCTTATAGTATCCAAAACGAGACCAATTTCATAAATACAAAGATTTGGTTTGGAAGTTTGGCTGTCACTGAAGGAAACCCATTTCATACGGGATAGAACATCCAAATTTTTTGTTGATGTCAGTGGCGGATCCAGAGGGGGGCGTAGAGGGCGTACGCCCCGCCCCCCCTTTGCTTGCACTTTTTTTTTTTTTTTTTTTTTTGTAAAATGATTAATCAGACTAGTCTTCGTGAACTTTGCCATTTTCCGCGTATTTAATTTTAATATGACAATTCTTTACTTATAAAGATATGTTTCGCTCGTATTTACTGTAATATATTATTGATTATGTCAAAATCATGCGATTCGCTACGGTGGAGTTGACCAGTGCGTCGAAAAAACGTCAGTCATTTTGAAATTCATATTACAGTAACACATTGCTTAGGCTGAGGATGACAAGCATGACACCTTCAAAGCAACAAAGGATTGAGCAAGAACGTATTTATTGACTTCTATTTCACAATTCCACCGAACAGAAAGTAATACTCTATTACACTTTCATGAAAAAAGTTCCACAGCAATATTATTTACCTACGAAAACATGTTTAACCCAAAACGCCCCAGCCTATTAATAACATAGCTGAATAATGATCCCCAGTCAATAAGCTCTAGATAGATTTAAATTCTAAGGTACGGACCATTTGATTGGAGGGGGCAGTCTGAGATGTTTGAGAGAAAAATTTCTGACCCTGATTTTTGCCTTAAACAAAAATTCTGGCCGTATTTGGATTGAAAACAATAATCTTGTCCACTTTTTTTGCTATTAGAAACAAAAGTTTCCAACAGAATTATTTAGCATTAAATGAACATGATGAATAAAAAAACGGGCGTAATTTTTTTGGGGCCGGGGGTTTGCATGTAAATCCAATATCTGACCGGAATGTCTCTTTCTTCGAACTGATAAAATGAATACTTTTTCAAGGCCCGACTGCAACCTGCCTGCTGGGTGTGGCCTTTATGTCTCCATTTGTCGACCGTCATTCATATATTCGTTGTCATTTCAGACTCATTCGTAGCCTTTGGTTGATTTGGAACCCCTCACTTCCCTTGTTGGGTGAAACATTTCAACCAAACATTTGGATAAAAATTGCTTGTTTGTCTTTCTTAACTCGTGTCGGTCGTATTGTAAATTTCATTGAATAGCCCGGCGTATATCTTTTTTACAACAAGAAATCCGTGATGTTATGCTAACTAAACATACAACAAACGAGAATTTTCCATGTCAATTTTTTACTGACAAGTCCCACATCAAATATATTAGTACATAGCTTTGGATCCATCCGATCATTTTATAATAGACAATTAATGGGGAGAATACGGCATCAAAAATGTCCAACCCTTACACTTTAACTATATACAATATACATGCCTTACGTCAGGAACCGTTAAAAAAGTGCATTTTACGCTTATTTTATGTTTTTTAGCCAAAAAAAGGTCCAAAACAATTTTCGCCTCGCTCCGCTCGCCGATCTTTACATACTTCGCCCCCCCTTTCCAAAATCCTGGATCCGCCCCTGGATGTAGTTTACCAAGCTTGTCAATTTAGATTGTTCCAGGTAAACTTATTGATCTGTTAATAAAGTTATTCTAAAATGTTATAAAATTACCTATTCAACACTGTTATAAGATCTTCGAATGTTGTTTTATCGGTATAGATATTGATTTTGTTATTGATAGATTAAAACTCAACTAAATAATATTGTTATACACATATCTACAGTAAAGGTACGATTATTCAATACCTATATTTTGGCATTGCACAATTCCATGTTTTTCTCTAATTGATAATGAAGTCTTTACACTGAATCCATATTATGTTGGGTGTGTAATATTGAGTGATATTTTAGTCTTAGATACATGATTTCTCATTAGTTGTTATTGGCTTTGACTTAGCTTTCAGTAACAGTGAGAACTCGTGGTACTCTCAGATTTGAACTGTTTTGTATCGATCTGGTGAGTTAAGCCCTTTTCACCTGATTTTTATAGTTTGTTCTTTTGTTCTTTTGTTATACTGTTACATCACTGTTCCAAGTAAGAAGGGGGGGGGGGGGTTGATGCTGGCAAACATGTTAACCCGCCAAGTTATTATGTTCATGCCCAAACTTGGGCGCCTGTAATTCAGTGGTTGTCATTTGTTGCTGTGTATAATATTTCAAACATTAATCAGGTTGTTTGTTGTCTCGTTTAAATAGTTTCACATTTGTCATTTCGGTGCCTTTTATATACTTTGAGGTATGGATTTTGCTCATTGATGAAGGCTGTATGGGGATCTATATTTGCTAAATTTTACAACATTTGGTCTCTGGCGGATAGTTGTCTCATTGCCAATTTACCACATATTCTTATTTTCATGTAAACAATTATGAATAAGTTTTTCCTTACACCAAAAATACATGGCCTAATACTAAAAAGAGTGCACTGAAATGTCTCACCTGCTAAATCGACCATTACTGAATAATTTGTAGACAGTCTTAAGTAATGTCTAAGATAACCAGTCAAGGACATAACTCTATAGGGTTATTAGAGAAAAATAACATACGCTTGTTATTGCGGACAAAACAATCAAAGAACTGTGATAACATATGTATGTTACATGTTTCAAAGGGACAATATACGTCATTAGTTTTGTTAAAATGTATACAAGTTCTATTGATATTACTATTGTCTTTATGTATACTTAACTATAGAAAGATATAACAGTTCATAGTTTGCCAATCATGCATATCACACCTATGTTATTACAGAACAAATATGCCTGTAATAACTAAAGGGTGTTATTATAGCTTCTCTACATCACTTCAAAGCATTTGCTCAGACATTGATCATGCTCAATTACAATGTATTTTAATTTATTGTAAGAAGTAATTATCAGAGCATGTAATGAGGTTCTGCGCAAGCTTCCCAGTAATTTCCAAGTGTCTCATTTAATAACATGAATAAGTTACATGCCTTTAATAACTAAGCCTTGTTATTACAGCTAAGTTAATCACTTAAAAGCCTTGTCTCATTGATTTACCATGGTTAATGAAAAATGTATTAATCTAAATTAATAGTTAGTTTAAGTTATCAAGGCAATGCATTTAGTTTCTGCGCAAAGTTTCAAGAGTTCCCTAGAGCCCACTAAAAATAAAAATATTTATGATTTATTTTACAAATAACAAACATATGTTATTACAGATTTAGTAAATTTAAGGATTAAAGAGTAGACAACTCATAAAAGTATCTGTAATAACACATGCAAGTTATTTTCTGTAATAACCCTATAGAGTTATATCCCTGACTGATAACTGCACATGTCAAGAAATGTTATGTTTCTGATTTGAATGTTATAAATAAAAATAGCTGTAGATTATCACACTAAGGTAAAACTGCTATAAGACAATTAACATCAATTTGAAAAATAATCATCTTTCAGTCTTGCGTGAAGTTCATATATTATATGGTTACCTTTTTTCTCTTGTCTGTTTTTTAGTTTCTTCATTCCTGAAACAAGACAAATTGCCTAGATGTTTCATAGTCTAAATAATTTTTATAAATGAAATCCAACATTGTACAACATTATTTTCTAATAAAGATTTGATTGATTTGATTTTTAGTGTTTAACGCCACTTATAAGCACTGCTTTTGGGCTATTTCGTGGCGGCCAGTTTTTATTGGTGGAGGAAGCCGGAGTGCCCGGGGAAAACCAAAGACCTTCGATAGGAAAACTGACAATCCTAGTCAATTAAGATTGGAGTCGAGTGCTCCCGCGAGAGCGGGCTTCGAACTCACAACCTCCATGACCTCAGTGATGACTGGCTATTGATTACAGTAGTAACTACTTAGACCACTCGGCCACCAAGGCCCCTTCTAATAAAGAAAAACAATATTTATATCTCAAGTCATTTTTTCTATAAAAGACTTTTTTGTCAATGAACTTTTACAATTTAGTATAAAAACTAGGGGTCAGGAACCTTTTTTTTTTGGTTAAAATACATTAAAATTTACAAAATCACAGTTATTTTATAAGGGTAATATTGGGGCAACTTAAACTTTTTTATTGAGGAAACATCAAACAATAGAACTGGTTTATTTTCAATGAGGGAATTGCTTTCCAAAATACCTCTGATATATCAAACTAGAGGCTCTAAAGAGCCTGTGTCGCTCACCTTGGTCTATGTGAATATTAAACAAAGGACGCAGATGGATTCATGACAAAATTGTGTTTTGGTGATGGTGATGTGTTTGTACATCTTAATTTACTGAACATTTTTCCTGCTTACAATTATCTCTATCTATAATTAACTTGGCCCAGTAGTTTCAGAGGAGAAGATTTTTGTAAAAGATTACTAAGATTTACGAAAAAATGGTTAAATGACTATAAAGGGCAATAACTCCTAAAGGGGTCAACTGACAATTTCGGTCATGTTGACTTATTTGTAGATCTTACTTTGCCGACATTTATTGTTTTTTACAGTTTATCTCTATCTATAATAATATTCAAGATAATAACCAAAAACAGCAAAATTACCTTAAAATTACCAATTCAGGGGCAGCAACCCAACAACGGGTTGTCCGATTCATCTAAAAATTTCAGGGCAGATAGATCTTGACCTGATGAACAATTTTACTTCATGTCAGATTTGCTTTAAATGCTTTGGTTTTTGAGTTAAAAGCCAAAAACTGAATTTTACCCCTATGTTCTATTTTTAGCCGTGGCGGCCATCTTGGTCGGTTGACCAGCTCACGCCACACATTTTTAAAACTAGATAACCAAATGATGATTGTGGCCAAGTTTGGTTCAATTTGGCCACGTAGTTTCAGAGGAGAAGATTTTTGTAAAAGATTACTAAGATTTACGAAAAATTGATAAAAATTGACTATAAAGGGCAATAACTCCTAAAGGGGTCAACTGACCATTTCAGTCATGTTGACTTATTTGTTAATCTTACTTTGCTGAACATTATTGCTGTTTACAGTTTATCTCTATCTATAATAATATTCAAGATAATAACCAAAAACAGCAAAATTTCCTTAAAATTACCAATTCAGGGGCAGCAACCCAACAACAGGTTGTTCGATTCATCTGAAAATTTCAGGGCAGATAGATCTTGACCTGATGAACAATTTTACCCCATGTCAGATTTGCTCTTAATGCTTTGGTTTTTGAGTTATAAGCTAAAAACTGCATTTTACCCCTATGTTCTATTTTTAGCCGTGGCGGCCATCTTGGTTGGTTGGCCGGGTCACGCCACACATTTTTTAAACTAGATACCCCAATGATGATTGTGGCCAAGTTTGGTTAAATTTGGCCCAGTAGTTTCAGAGGAGAAGATTTTTGTAAAAGTTTACGGACGACGGACGACGGACGCAAAGTGATGAGAAAAGCTCACTTGACCTTTCAGGTCAGGTGAGCTAATAAAAAAAGGGGTCACAGGCCTTATTTTTTATGAAATTTTTTTAAAAAAACATAACATCCTATCAAATTCAATATAATAATTGTCCTTGATTTTAAAAGGATTTTTCATAAATATAATTAACAACCTTGAGTTTCTTAATAGTTTATATTTTAAGTTTTAGATGTTTTGTTGTATATTGAATGAAATTTGTTATTTTTTTATGTAAGTAGCATTTATATTTCAAAGCATATGGCATGAGTTCCTCTTTTCGGATTTAACAATATGTTTGGTTCCAACATTTGATCATTTTGTCCCATTTTTTCAGCCTATTAAGTGATTATAAAGAGAAACCATGTGACCAAAGGAAAACAAATTTTCTATAAATTCTATTTACTAAAGATTGGATAATGATCTTTCATAAAACTGACTTTATATAAAACAGATTTTTATAGTTTGTTCTTTTGTTGTACTGTCACACCACTTTCCCAGGTTAGGGGAGGGTTGGGCGCCCGCTAACATGTTTAACCCCACCACATTCTATATGTGCCTGTCCCAAAGTCAGGAGCCTGTATTTGAGTGGTTGTTGTCTGTTGCTGTTGATCATATGCGTTGTTTGTTTATTGTTTTGTACAGTTCTTGTCTTGTTCTGTTGCACCACTGTCCCAGGATAAGGGGGAGGGTTGGGCGCCCACTAACATGTTTAACCCCACCACATTCTATATGTGCCTGTCCCAAAGTCAGGAGCCTGTATTTGAGTGGTTGTTGTTTGTTGCTGTTGATCATATGCGTTGTTTGTTTATTGTTTTGTACAGTTCTTGTCTTGTTCTGTTGCACCACTGTCCCAGGATAAGGGGGAGGGTTGGGCGCCCGCTAACATGTTTAACCCCACCACATTCTATATGTGCCTGTCCCAAAGTCAGGAGCCTGTATTTGAGTGGTTGTTGTTTGTTGCTGTTGATCATATGCGTTGTTTGTTTATTGTTTTGTACAGTTCTTGTCTTGTTCTGTTGCACCACTGTCCCAGGATAAGGGGGAGGGTTGGGCGCCCGCTAACATTTTTAACCCAGCCACATTCTGTATGTGCCTCTCCCAAGTCAGGAGCCTGTAATTCAGTGGCTGTTGTTTGTTGCTGTGTAACATATTTGTTTTTCGTTCATTATTTTGTACATAAATTAGGCCAGTAGGCCGTTAGTTTCTCTTTTGAATTGTTTTACATTTGTCATTTCGGGGCCTTTAAAAGCTGAGTATGCAGTTTGGGCTTTGCTCATTGTTGAAAGCCGTAAGATGACCTACAGTTGTTAATTTCTGTATCATTTGGTCTCTTGTGAAGAGTTGTCTCATTGGCAATCATACCACATCTTCTTTTTTATATGTATATGAGTTTTTTATTAAATGTTCTATTCAATTGAAGTGTGACAGCATATAGTCGGTAAGAACAGTTTAAAATCCCTAAAAAGCTTACTCAACACTTATAGATAGCAGTGGCGGATCTAGAAATTTTCATAAGGGGTGGGGGCACTGACCCTCAAGAGGGGGCCTGATCCAGTCATGCTTCAGTGATTCCCTAAATAATCAACCAATTTTTTCCAACAAAAGGGGGGGGGGGGGGGGGGCTGCCCCCCCTCCCCCTAAATCCACTTCTTGATAGATTCACTCAAAATTCTCTGATGTATAAGAAAATTGGGCAGATTTTTTTTTAATTAATATAATGTAAAATTTATGATATATATGGAATCATCTAAGTTAATCAGGTACAATATTAGATTCAGACTTTGCTATAATTACCTATTTGACATAATTGTATTTCTTGATCTGACAATTCTGTCTTCTCCATTCCAGAAGCAACAGCCTCATATTCTCCGTGATTTAGAGCTTCAAGAAGGTGTGTGTATGCATCTCCACCTTTGCGAACCAATTTGTTGTATAAAAGTCTATTACTTTCCTGTTGAGTGAGTGAAGAATTACAAACTTCCTCTTTTTCTTCAGTACTTAAAACACCAGACTGATACAGGTGGTCAGCTATGTCTGTTTTGGAGTCAACACCATGGACAAACATCATGTAATTCTTTTGTAGTTTAACTTTGTGTTTATTCAACACTGAAATATAAGAAAGGCATACATGTATAAATGAATGAAATATTCTCTTCCCCTTTCACACACAAAATTGAATTTTTTTTCCAACTGTGATTGGCTGTTTTGTTAAACTTACTACATTAAATATCAATTGTAGGATTAATTTTTCGTTGTTGAAATATTGGTTTTATTCCATAACACAGAACAAACAACTGTACCAAGAGGGCATATATATTGAGGTTGAATTCCCTGTCATTTATCTATCATCCATGCACGAGCTTGTCTTAGAAAAACAAATCATATCTGTATACATTAACCTCACTTTCAGGTATAGAGATGTGATTTTTTTTTCTGAGACAAGTGCTTGTGACCATCCACAAGAACTTGCAGTCATCCGATGTTCAGTACTTCAGTACTTTGATTAAGATTAAAAGGCGGAAGATAGCAAGGGGATATTCAATACTCATAAGTTTGAGAGTCTGACAACACCATGGCGAACTAGAGGCTCTTAAGAGTCTATGTCACTCAGCTGGAGCTATGCGAAACATGAAAAATGACCTTTCTCCAACATTGTAGACTACAATTTAATGCATGACTAAAATCGCTTTCTTGTTGACCTTGTATTGCTGATATTTTTGTTCTTTTTAGTTTCTCCCTATATTATATCGATTCCAAAATTGAAATAAATGTCAAGAACTTAAAAGTAAGTAAAAAATTGTCTTTTATAAGGGGTCAGCCAATGGTTTCTGTCATATTGGCATTCTTATATATATCAATCATTTTTGAGGATAACAGTTTCTATTTATCTCTTATAGTTTTCAAGATAAGAGGCAAATACTCTGAAATTCTAAATAAATTTGTCTTTAAAGGGCAAAAACTCATATAAGCAATTATCTAATAGCTACGGTCATGTATGAATTTTTGTTGACCTTGAATATCTGATCATTTTTGCTGTTCACAGTATCTACTTTTCTGTGTTTTCAAGATTATGGACAAAAACTGGTGAATAAGTCAACAATCTTCATTTAAGGGCAATAACTCTAATAAGGAGTCAACCAATGTTTTCAGACATATACATTGTTTGTATAGGCCTTGTATTGTTGATAATGTTTGTTGTTTACAAATTATACTTATCTATAATAGTTTTCAAGATAAAAGGCAAACATTTACAAATAAGTCAAAAATCACATTTGAAGGGCAATAACTCCTGTAAAGAGTCACCTAATGGTTTGAATTTCATTGTTTTTTTTGTAGATCTTATATATCTAATTATTTTTGCTGTTTGCAATTTCTAATTATCTATTATAGTCATGATAATTTTCCAAATAGTAGGCAGAAGTTTAAAAATAAGATTAATAAAAGAACAGAGTTCCAATGTGCCCCGCTTGGCACATATTTTATATTTCCAAGGGGCATAACTCTTTTAAAATAGTTGATCGTCAACCATTATACATGTTATAGTACTTGTCCGAAATATTGTTGATATTAACCTATAGTACAAGTTTTATAAAAATCTGGCAAGAATTGTACATCTGCATGATTTGAGAGCACTAGCCAGGCCATTTTCCATAAATGTAGTATTTACAAGGGGCATAAGTCGATCAGCCACCAATATAGAACTTGTCCAAGATATTGCTGATATGTATAAGTATAAGTTTTATAACTAGAGGCTCGAAAGAGCCTGTGTAGCTCACCTTGGTCTATGTGCATATTCAACAGAGGACACTCTCCAACATGATAGACAGGAATAGAATTCATGACAAAAATCTGTGTTGTTGATCTTGTATTGCTGATAATTTATACTATTTAGTTTCTCTCTATCTTCTTTAGTTTTTGCTCAAAACACAAAAGAGGATAAAAAAAATCTTCATTTAAGGGCAATCACCCCTATAACATGTATAAACATTGATAAAGAGTGAGTCTACTAATCTATATCAGCAAAATATGACTTGTTAGTAGATCTTGACTTGCTGATCATTTTTGTGATTTAAAGCGTATCTTTATCTTTATAATTTTCTATCATATATGGCAAAAGCAAAAAAATTAAATTGCTTCGCCGAGCACAGATGGATACGACCGCAGAGGTCCAACCCTGAACAGTTGGGGCAAAAATGGACGCAATATTTGCGCTTGATACAGGTCTGAATTTGGATTGTAATTAAATATTTGACACATAAAAGGTTTCTGACACAGAATAACTGTAGTCAAAGAACTTAGAAATGGCTATATGATTTGAATTTATATTCAAATTTTTGCTTTTGTGCAATACACTTTGCTGTTGCGTATTGACCCCCCCCCCCCCCTCCCCCCACACAAAAAAAAAATTACCCCCCCTTTTTTTTTGCTTTTGTGCAATACACTATGCTGTTGCATATTAACCCCCCCCCCCCCTCCCTCACACACACACACACTTTTTTTTGCCAAAAAAATCATATTTGAAGAATTTTTCTTTTTAATTTTTGAAATCTGAAATGAGATAAAAATGGACCTCCCACAATTTCTTTTTACCCCCTCCCCCCCCCCCCCTTTTTTTTCCCCAAAAAAATTCTTTTCCTCAAGATATGGTCATAATCTCAATTCAAATTTCCAATGGAGTTTGCAACCATAATTACCCATTTAAATTTACCATAGTGCTAACTTAATCTATTTTATAATAGAATTTAAAATATGGCATGTATGGTGTCAAATCTTTCATATGGATTTTTTTGTAAAAAAAAAATAAGCAACATTTGCAGATATTTTTACTGGTCTTCCTTTATAAATATGCATTTCTTTAAACATAATCTTAAAGCAGTGTTAGGGAGGTAATCAAAACGTTGTATTTGGATTACCTCCCTTACACTGCTTTTAAATTGTCTTAATTATTCATTAACCATTACTTTATACATAATTTAAAAGCAGTGTAAGGAAGGTAATTCAAATGATGTATTTGAATTACCCCCCTTACACTGCTTTAAATTATGTTTTGTACTTAAGTATTTGTCCATTAACCAAGAAATCCTTGTTTTTCCACCTTTTTTGCCCCTAATTCCTAAACAGTTTGAGCCAAAACCCCCCAAAGCAAATCCTAACCATCCCTTTTTGGTATGGAAACTTGTGGTATAATTTCAGAGAGATCCATACACCGTTCCACAAGTTATTGTCTGGAAACTAGAAAAATGCTTATTTTTGGCCCCTAATTCCTTAACTGTTAGTACCATAACCCCCAAAATCAATCTCAAACTTCCTTTTGTGGTATTGAACCTTATGGTAAAATTTCATAGAGATCCATTCACTTAAACTAAAGTTATTGTGCGAAAACCAATGTGTCTTCAGACGACGACGATGCCAACGTCATACCAATATACGGCTGCAAAAATTTTTTGCGATCGTATAAAAAGGTGACAATTGTCTTTAAAGGGCAATAACTCCAATTAGGTTGTAAAACAAACAAATAATTAGTTGTCTCTGTCCATTATTGTAATAGACATTTCAATGAACACTTTAACCTAGAATGACCAAGCGAGGATTTGACAATTCAAAACTTTTTCAATGAATTCCTTCTTTTTTGTTTATTTTATTATTGATCAAACCAAGGAGGTTATATGATCTCCTAAATCAAAAAGAAATCCACGAATTACGTATCTGATTTTTTTTTTTTGTAATCAGCAATCCACAAATTTACGTATACCACGAAACGTCTTTTTTTCTCTATCCACGAAAATTGATACCCACGAAAATAAATGAATCCACAGTAATTAGATTTGCGATATACATGATACACTGTATATGTATTTTGACATTCTTTATTTCAAGTATAATATTTTGTACTCTTCCATGTCTTGAGATTATTATTACCTCTTGGAATGAAGTACACAAAGTCGATAAGATATAATTAGAGTACTCGAGCTATTAATAATTTAATAGCTTAGTTGACCTGGTAGATCTAATGAACCTGTCAGTAATATTTACCTACTCATGTATTAAAGGCTAAGCCTACAAAGTCCAAACAATTTGACAGTGTTGATAATGACACCTTCTTTTCCTGAAGTTATTTTATTTATCTAGATAATTTCGTTACTAAGACTGATAATATGTCCATAGCATATATCTTTTTATCTTGTTTTTGTTCAATTCTGTAATTTCATCCTATCAGAGTTGAGATTAGTGACATCATGCATTCCGTTACCATAGTTAAGCTCCTTAGTATTTTAAAAAAAAGGTCCCAAACCGAAACTAGAACTGCATGTACTGACTGTAAAAACAACACAATCTTTATACAATATAACCTAAGATCACTGAGCCAAAGTTTTGTTGAAATTGGTTCAGTAATTCAAGAGGAGAAGATCTTTTAATAAACAGCTGCACCATGAGCGCATGATACGCCCGTCGCATTTTTTACAAATAAAGTTCAATAACTTCTCAATGTCATATCAGAAATTTGTGAAAAACTAAAGGGAGGTTATCTTAATTGATATAAACCAGTCACCAAAGTTCAATGAAAACTGATCAAAGCACTTTAAAGCTTAAGGTATTGTCCGAAAACTGGAAAATCACCCCTTTTTTAATGATAAAACCCCGCAACTCAGAAACGTAAAATCTAAATTTTATAAAAAACGAAAGGGAGCTCACATCAATAGATATGAACAATTCACCAAAGTTTTATGCAAATTGGTTGAAGCGTTTTTGAGTTAATGTCCGACATGTTGACGACGGACGGACGGACAGAGGGCAACGGTATACCATAATACGTCCTGTAAACGGGGGTATAAAAAGTATATGATGGACAAGAAAATTAGTAAACAATCATCATTTAATGCTACAACTCCTTAAAGGGGATTTAGCTTTCAAATTGATGTTCACCGATTTGACTCAAATTCTAACATTTGATTTATAACATACTAAAACGTATACCTCCACATTACAAAAAAGCCTAATATAAACAATTAACAATGCATGAACTGGATATAATGTTTATGTATCAGCATTTCATGTGTAATGTAGTCTAGACCGCTTTAAACGTTTAAACCCGCTGCATTTGTATG